TGGTTATAACAAAATGGCCATCGAAAAGATCTGGGCACAGATCACGTTAACTCTGCCAGTCTCCCCAGGCCCCTCTCATGAGCCTGTTCTTAGAACCTGCCCTCAAATCTGGTGACAAAAAAGAGGAATTGGAAAGATGAAGAGAGGCAGTCCAGTAGTTCACACTAAGGAGTTTCATGAGGGTTAAATAAGCCTTATCTTCCTGGTATAGTCCATTCTCTTGATTAACACCCACTCTTAAGAGTGGAGATATCAAAATTCATTATGGGCGAATTCAACACTCATAATCCCCATAAGTATCCTTCTCAAGCTAGGCATGAAAGGTCACCCAAAATGCATCTGTGAGTGGAGAAAGGCCTTACAGGTGGGTCATGCAGTCCTCCCTTGGGAATCCTTTCCAAGCATCCCTGACAGGTGGCTGTAGTCTGGCTCCTGCCTGGACACTTCCAAGGTCGAGGAGCTGGCTGGTTCACCTGGCAGGCTGCTGGACAGCTCTGGCTGTGGGGAAAGCCCACGAAGGGCCTAGAACAGTGCCTGGGTAGGGACGGGCTCAATAAGTGCACCTCCAAGTGGGTCAAAAGCTGCCTTCTTACTACTTGAACCCATCGGTCCTGGATGCACCCCTGGAGCCCTGAAACGCAGAGGCCCTTTGGATATGCGGGGCTGTAAGCAGGCCCCTTAGCCCTCTCCTTCCTGGTGCGGATCTCGGACCTCCATCACCAAGCTTGGGCCAGCAGACCCTCCTCCGCACACCCCAGAGTGCGCACCGATAGAGGATGGACGGCAGAAAGGCCGCAGTCGGGGATGTCCCCAACCTCGGTACCTGGGTCAGGAGGGGACAAAGGGCTTTCAGGAAGGCGCATCCCACCCGCTGCGGTCCAGGCTGCCTCCCTCCCCGTCACTTGGCTAGCCGGCCCGCGGGACCCCCGCGGCGTCAGGTGACAGGTCCCCCGAGGATCCCAGGGGCGCAGGCAGCGGCGCGATGGGCCGAGCCACAACGAGGACCGCGGGGCTCAGGGGTTTGGCCCGACGGATCGGGGGCGTGATCCCGGCTTAACGGAGCTCGCTCGGCCTTGGCTTTACCTCTGCGTGGTTGACTACAGCGGCCCAGCCCGCCCCCGGTCCGGTTCCCGCAGCTCCGTGGCTGCCGGCGGCGTTCATGGAAATGCAGCCGGAACCCCTGGCCAGTACAGCTCCCGCCGCTACCGGCCCCGCCCTGGCAACTGCCGCCACGCCCCTGACGACCGCTTCTTCCACGCCTCTAACCACGGGAACCCGCCCGTTCATTGGGCGGTCGAGCCGCTGCTCTACTAGCCCCGCGCGCTCATTGCACCCAGAGGATAGCCTATTGGTCGGCGGAGCTGCTCTTCAGAGTGGAGGCGGAGCCCTTAACGAAGACAATTGGTTACTTTTGACGTCTTTAGCCCGTAAGCCAAGACCTTATTGGATAAAACCAGCCCGGAGGGGGCGGGAAAAAGGGAGGTGGCTAAAAGATGGGCCGTGTTTGATGTTGATGGGGGCAGGGCGCGGAGAGGGAGGCAATTGTGACTGAAAGCTGGTTTGGGGAGCCGGATAAGGTCGGTTGTGGTCTGGGAGTGGGAGGAGGGAGGCTGGCTGGTAGCTCAGCTGCGGGATCTGATGGCTGCAAGTCAAACGACTGACTCACCTGGAGCCCAGGACACAGGGGGTGGAATTTGGGGTACTGCCCCGGGACAGAGAAAGGAGGAAAGTAAGTGACCAAGTCGTAAGGAGAGGAAAGGATGTGGAGGCAGTGGCTCCTTCCAGCTAGGGACGCTAGGAAAGAGTGATGGGGACGTGCCATCAGTGGTTGTCCCGCTGCCCTTTCAACCCTTAAGACGACCTTCGCACATACAGGTTGTATAGCCTTGAGCAAGTCACTTTAACATTTGTGCATGCACCCTGATTTCTTCATATGGCGATTGGGAGTAACAACAGCAGTTGACAAGAAGAGTAAATAACTCAGTAAACAGTAACAGTGCCTGGCACTCAGTAGGCATTCAGTCAAGACTGGTTCCGCACACACTCACCCCCATAAACCTATGGAGCTAAATTCTATGAGCCTGAAACTGCTTTTGCAATAGCACGTGCTTTATTTACCAAGAACAGAACGCTTGACTAACTGGAAATGCAACCTCTTTGGGGCAGACAGGATCACCCTACTAGAGCAATAGTAGGGCTAGAAGAGATGGGAGGAGCGAGTTAGTCAGAAAAGGGAAGTGGTATCTGAAGCAATTGTAAATTTTTTCAACACATTTCAGAATTATGATGAGAAAAAAAAAGGGGCTTCCTTTATCCTGTTCCCCCATTTATCCAAGTGTACAATGGCCCAAGTTTCATGGAGTGTGACCAAATAACCTTTGAAGGCGGATCAGCACTGGACCAGAAAGCACTTCATAAAATCTGTCAGGGACTCCTGAAGCCACTCTCCATTGTGAAGGAGTGGAAGTTCTAGAGGAGAACAGAAATAGCCTCTCAGGCCTGAATTTAGCCCCAGGCCCTTTGGGTCTGCCTTTGAGACAGCCCACACCCATGTTGTTCCAGGGCGAAGGAGGAGATAAAATCCTTTGCCATTGCTCTATTTTTCATTCAGTTGTCATGTTACCTAAAAAAAAGTTCACCTCAGCATTTGCTTATTCCTCTACATTCCCTTCCATCTTAGGCAAGAAAAACCTAGACTTCAGTAGCAAAGGATTTTAGTGAGGGACCCCCATAGTTCTGCCTCTTGGTGTTCAAACAATTTGGGCTTCTAGAAAAGATCTTTGGATCTGTCGCCATTTTGGGGGGTGTGCGTGCGCGTGTGTGTGTGTGTGTGTGTGTGTGTGTGTGTGTTTACTTGGTTCTGTGCCACCGTTTCCCAGTTCTTGTGTCTTTAAATAGTTCTGCTTGGTGGCCTTACATGTCTGTACCCGTACCAGGGACAAAGGCCTGGCCCATTACAAGTATGCCCCTGCTTGTGTTTGCTAGAGGAGATGTCTTGTTAGGTCCTAAAAGGCATGAAGTGGCTCCTGAGACCCTGGGAAGATTTCCCCAGCTTGATTCAGAGCCACAGAAGGCAGCTATTAGAATGCAGATGGACTTACAATTGTATACATTGACTTTTCCCCCACATCAGGAACGTAGGTTCAGCCAAGAGTTCCAGAAATGGGGCCCGCCGGTTAAGAACTGGTTTGGGACGCCAGAGGGCCCCGGTTCGGATCCCACATATGAGGGCCAGTGACACTGCCCTCTACAGCTAAGATGCTGAACAACAGCTCAGCCTGGAGCTGGGATACCGTGATTCGCCGGCAACGGCGGAGGCTGCAGTCCCCTGCTGCAGTGGGTTGCCATAAGCTACCATGTGTAGCCGGCAGCCAGCGTGTGTATCCAGCAGCCAGCATGAGCAGCCAGCAGCCAGCGTGAGCGGCTGTCCAGAAGCCGGCGAGTGACCTGCCTCGCCCGGGAAGAGCGCAATGATGGTGCCAACTTGGGCCAGTGAAGCAACAGACTCCACAACTACTGAAGAACAAAAGGACAGCAACTTGTCTGTTCCCCTTCCCCCAATTCCCCAGCGCTGTTCCCACCCCCCAATTCCCCAATTAAAAAAAAAAATCTTTAAAAAAAAAAAAAAGTTCCAGAAAGGCATGTCCATCCAGTTCAGGAATTCCAAAGCAGAATTGCGTCACAGGCTGCAAAAGCAGCACAGAATGAGCCCAGGCAGAGGAAGAAGAAGAAGGAAAAGACACACACATCTCTGCAGCCCTGGCTGGCTTCAATAATGACCCATTATCACCTGCAACACTCAGAGCTGCTTTCTGTTTGTCTCTGGTGCCTGTTCCCTCGCCTCCGCTTTGGCTCTTGCCATATTCTGTTGAATCATATTGTGTCAGTCTATAAAGCATTTCTGTGGGAGGCCATTTAGGAGACAGAATGGATTCGCTTTTGCCTTCAAGACTGAGGATTTGGTGAGGCTTGGCCTGGGATAACCAGTGTTCAGGATGAAGCTATAATGTACATTTCTGAAAGCAGGAGCCGTGCCTTGTTATCAAGAGCTCGAGGGAGAGGCCGTGCTCCCACCCACATTCCACCCACAGGGAACGCCTAAAGCATCAGGACTTAACTGAAGTGAAGCTGGCTCGAAACTCACCTGGGGCCTCTCAGCAGGATTTCCTGACCCCTGGGCGACAGCAGGCAGCAGTGGCCAGAGCAAATAGTGGGCTCTGTTTAGTCTCGTCTTGAAAAATGAATGATTCACTTAGTTTGTCATTTTCATTATTCTGTACCCTTAAGGGATGGTTGAGAACAACTGGCTTTGGAGTCTCTGCTCTTGGGGCTTGAATCCTGGCTCTGCCCTTCATAGCCTTGTGACCATGGGCAAGTACCTCACCTCTCTGTGCCCCACTTTCTACCATAAACTTCAGATGACAGTACTTGCGCTTCCCTCATGGGGTCCTGTGAGGAGCAAATGAGTTACAGAGCATCAGATAGTGCCTGGCACACACTTAGCTCTTAATAAATGTTTGCCAGAGTCATTCCAGGAGCCCACATAAGACCCTTTTCCTAAGGCACTCTTTTCTAAGTTCTGTCGTGATCACAGGATTCAGGATTTGTTTTCATGCAGACTTTCTTTTTAAATTTCTGTTTTAGATTCACAGCAAAACTGGGCAGGTAGTTCCTAATTACCCAACCCCCAACACATGGAAATTTTTTGTTTTTTGTGTTTTTGGGTTTTTTTACTAGCAACATCTACCGCCTGGTGATAGAAACTTTTCCTTTGGAATTTCCTCACCCAAAAGAGGGTTCTGAGGACTGAGTTAAGGTTTCTGAGACTAGATGTCATCAAGTTAATCAGTGTGAAGGAAATGGGAAAGAATGTGGCTGACAGAATAGTAAAAAACTGCAGACTTCATGGCACAGGCTCTGAAGAAGTCAAAATTGTCACTTACTTGTCACACCCAGCGCTGCCTGTGTGTAACTAGGCAGTGAGTTCAGCATGTCCCACTGCCAGGCCTCCTGGCCAGGTTCTTAACAATAATGGAGATAAAGTTTGTTTGGAAGTTCTAAGTCCCAGCATGCTATAGTTCTATGAAGACAAACTATGATGAAATTCAAGGGTTTGTCTCCTTTCGTAATTGGAAAAGCTTCCTGCTGGCTATTTAAAACAGTGATGAATGATAACCTTGTCTATGATTTGGGCTGCTTCCTTAAACCAATGTGGGGAGTTGTTGTCTATAATAAAATCATAGGGTGCTTTTATGCCTAGGACAGTATTGGCTTATGCCTACTGTCTTGGCAAATTTTTAATGTGCCCCCTTTTCACTCTCAAATGGTCTAAGCTTGGATGATAAATTATATGGTAATACTTATATACATAGGATCCAGCACTGAATATGTTCATGAAACACACACACACACACACACACAGCTGTTCCAGTCTTATGCTCAGATACATATAGAGTGTCAGACAAGTGGTTGGCCTAAGATGACTTCTTAGTTACGATGCATTCCTCTGATGATGTCATCCTTAATTCTAGTAATAAAAATTGAGTTCTTCACGCTGTTAACTCAAAAGGAGTCAATAAAACTTGTGCATTAAATAGGGGCATCACAACACTTTCCTGCATAATTTCGTGTTATTGAGTTATTTTAAAGCTGTTTATATCCTACCAGAGATCCCTGTATTGCTTTACTATATATATTTGAATTAATTAACAAGAGCGTAAATATTTTTACGGAGCAAGATATACAGTACTAGAGAGACAGAACCATAAAGCAAAGTTCCATTCCTATATAGGACCAAGGGTCATACCTAGAGCAATAACTAGAAGGAGTGAGCAGTAAGTAACAGAACATTATCAATGTCATGAACACTTGTTCGGAGGAGGGGACAATTTCTTCCGATTTAGATTCTTGGAGATTTCAACTGGTCTTTGAAGGTCAACAGGGCAGAAATTGGGGTGGGGGTGGAATGGCATTCCAGGCAGGTGAGGACAACAGGAACACAGGTCTCTACAGAATACCAATTGGTCTGTATAGGGCAGAGTCCAAGTGGACAATCAGTAGGAGAGAAGATGAAAGGGTAGACAAGGCCAGTGGGAGAGGCCAGTTAATGTCCTCATCAAAGTTCATGGCTGCCTCTCAGCTGCTGAAATACTTGGACATCTTAGCACAGTGCACAGCAGGCTCCAGACGTCC